ATTAGATTCTTATCTTTTTATTGGCCTCTGGTAAGCACTACGTTCACCACCTTGACACGATGTACTGGTAAGTCTCGTTGAACAAGGCCTTTGTCCTCCGTCGGTTGGCTTGTTTACATTTGTTGGTCCCGGTTACTATAATTAAAGGACGTATTGTACTACTGATAAGTATGACCTGACTGCTTACAATTTCCACATATTGGAGCATAATCATCACTGGCCCTTGGATTAAGACATTCACTTGTATAATGTCTGATTTGTCTACAATGATAGTAATGAAGTGGTCTCCTGCCAGCTCCTTTAGGGATATTGGGTGTCTCTACTGATATATAACGGCTAGGTCTATTCCATGTCGGATGAGTAAAGGATCCTGATTGATCCATTGTTAGTGTAGAGTCTGGCATTAGCTTCATCATGGGTGGATATTGATGGTATCTTGGTTGATTCATCGCCACTCTGTGAATATTGGATACACCTTCTTGGTGAAATTTAGAGTTTAGGAAATTGGAATAATTCTTGTTTTGTTTATTTGCTCGATTTCTATTCTAGCCAAACCTATTATTCGTTTGTACTTGATTGACATCCCACAAAGTTGGTTGAATCATTATCTGGTTACTGAGTTATTATTGCTTCCGTAAATTCCAATAGTTGGTGGTAATATGCTTGCCTCTGCAAAAGGTACATTCTACAGTCATTTGGGGAGGTGAAGGATATTCTATTACTAAATGACCTTACTCCTTACAATTGCTGCACTAGACATTGGGACGCATATTGGTTGATTTATACCTTTTTTTTTTTTTTTTATCTTTGGCCAGATTCACAGCCAATTCATCCATTTTTTTCATCAATGTTAACAGCAATGACTGATTGGGATCCTTTGATACCAATACATTTGACAATTCCTTTGTAGGTATTGGTTTTTGATACACAGAATAAGGTGCATACGGTTGTGATGATGATGGTGGTACAGCTTGCAATGGAACGGCATCCACTATTCCTTATGGAATTGTACCATAATCATTCCTTCCCAAATAACTTTTCGATGCATCATTCCAATTTGTCATTTGATAACCTCCTTGAGATGGAATCATCGTGGCTCCAACTATTAAGTTTTGATCATAGTGACATTCCTCCCATACTTTTGCTCGCTCAAGAGATGATGCAATGGTGGCTGATTGGGCCTCCTTTATAAACATCTTCAATTCTGATGGATGTAGTCCATTAAACAATATGGACAACACAAACGATTTTGGCATTTGGTTATTTGGCCATTTTCGAAGTATATCCGCTACGCGACCATAATATGACTGTACTGCTTCCCCTAGTACCATTCTACTATTCATTAATTTTTCTCTAAGACGTTCTTCAAAACCAATTGGTCGAAAATGGGCTAAAAATGCATTTTTTAATGCCTCCCAATTGATAAATTGTCCCACAAGTTGGCGGTTATACCACTCAAATGCTGTGTCTTTCAATGTTGATGGCAGCCATCTTAACCAAATATCTTCAGTTCTGCCATTATTGGCTACACACGCTGTAAGAAACTGACACAAATGTTGATCGGGATCCACACCCAAAAATCCCTAAAAAGTAGGTAGTGGTGCGACACTAGTCGTTCGATCGTCCACTGCATCCATTTGAACTGCAATTGGAATGGCTGGTCCTCCTGACGCCATTGAATTTCTTGTTCCACTAAACTCTATTTTAAAATAATCTCTGCTTTCTCTTATTCTAATTTCCGAACTCTCAATGCTCCTTGATTTATTATTATTTTCCATAAATAGTTTTATTGGTTGAATTGCAGGTGAAAACGTCTGATTTTGAAATACAATATAGTTATCTTTATTGGCGACCAATTTGTGCCAATCTAAAGAGCCTCTATTGCTCGTTTTAGTGGTACCTCCTACTGAAAAAATATCCAATGGAGTACCAAATTCTTCTACGCCTCCTTCTCTTTCAGTTAACGACCTCAAGATTTCCACTGGAATGTTAACAAAATTTCTCGCGATTATTCTTGGCAGTTTTTCTAACGGTACATATGACTGCAGAATTAATAGTCTGTCCAGTTCTTAATATGTTCGGATGCACCAACAAGCTTGCAACCATGGTTTAATCCAATTCTGTCGATGCTTCCTTTTAAGATTATGTTCTCGCTCCTCTCTAAGCAAGTTCCTTTCTTACGCTCTTCCCTGTCTTTCTCTCAACTGATTTATTTTCTTTGATGCAATGCTCTCGTTCTTATTAACCATAATCTTGCTTCAAACACTACTGAAATCGTCTTCCATTGCCAATTTTTTCACACGTTTGGTAATTAATTCCTAACACTCAAAGCTATTATCACTCCCCGGCAGCGGCGCTAAAATGTGATTGCTCGTTTTACTTATTCCAAAATAATCTAATGAGAATAAACTTGTATAGGAAGATTCAAATACGAGGAATGTCTAGTTGCTTAAGCGTTCACGTCAAGATCACACAATCAATTACCTCTTGAATGTATTGTCTCTATTTCCAATATCTGAACACACAAAGAAACAATAATCTTGTCCTTCACCTTATCAGTCTCTTCCTTACAGCAATTCAGTCATACCAATAACTGCTATTTCTATCAATATATTCACCCTCATAATCTCCAACTGTAATACTGCACCCTCACAGCTTTCAGCACACAATTACCCTCATTCCAATCACTGGAATTCTTCACACAGAACTGCCATTCACATTATGGTGTTTCACACAAACACAAACTCATTCTCTCTACTGCACTACAATCAGATTTCAACATTCAATCTTTCTTCTTCTCAAATAATACCAATCACATTTCCATTCCATAATTCACTTCACAATATTCAGAAACTCTCAATTCTCTTATTCAAAGAAAATAACAAACAAAAGAAAAGAGATAGCACCAAGCTTACCCCGCCTCACAACTATCACAGCGATTGCCCTCGGCTCATGACTATTACAGTCTGGTACCTTAATTAACTTCTACAACTCCTATATACTTTCCCCTGATTTTCTAGATTCTAATCGTAATTTTGTAATTAACCACTTTTAATAACTAAATTACTCATCCATCCTCCTGAATTTCCTATTATATGGACTATTAATATATTTTACCAATATCTTTCAAAAACGAATTAATATCTATTCTACAATCATATAATGGACAATAAAGATTGTATTCTTATTATCTACTCCTTTGTTGCAAATAGAAACTTGTATCATTGAATACAAAACTAGTATTTGTCATTTTTTTAAGATATAAAAGGATTTCAAATATTATTTTTTTTAAAATAAAATATAGTAAGATAAAAAAAAATATGAAGATTTTTACAAAAAATTAAAACTAAAAAATTAGAAGATATATATACTATTTTTATTTGATAAATTTGATACATTATAAAATATTATAAAAATAAGTGGCCTTAAAATACAAATATCAATTGTATGGATATTAATTTTAAGTAAAAATTTATTTAATATATATATATATATATATATATATTTCTTAAAAAATAAACAAGACATAATATGAATTGAATATTTATTTTAATTATCATAATATTTCTTTAATTTATCTAATGGTTATCTATATATATATATGTATATATATATATATATATATTTTTTTTTTTTATTTATTAACTTTATTTTTTTGGATTAAGATTTTATATGATGTTTTATTTGAAGAAATTTTATATATCAAAATCAAAGGTCATTTCTTATAGACCTTATATAGATTCCAATAATTACATAAATTAATAAATTAAAAAAAAAAATATATATATATATATATATATATAATCATTAGTAAAGCAATTTATGCATGTGTATATACTTCTTATAAAAAATAATTTATTTGTGTTAGATGCAAAATCCACATTTTTTTAATACTACAATAAAAAAATTGTGGTCCTTGAGGCCCTACATTCATTCACAACATGATCATCTACCTATCAATTATTTTACGTTCATCTACATAAATATCATCCATCTATAGACTATCAAATGTTTATTCACAGTATGACAATCCATCTAATAATTCATCCATCCATCCATCCTTGTGCTTCAGGAAAACGTGGCTCATCACTACTTGTTGCAAAAACCTTCCTATTTAATCAACTAGCTTGAGACATCTTAGCCATTAAATCTCCCAATAGAATCATGGATGTTACAAGAAATCATTGTAGTGGTGGTTTTTATGACCACACTACTATGATTATAGCATTTGTTTTAATTGTAAAACTACTCAAATACATGATGCTTGCAGAAAATACTGTATGATTTTCAAAATAACTTAAAACAAAATAAACCTATATAATCTCTAATACCAAAATAAAATTTTAAAGAGAAACTTAATTAATTGAGTTTTCTTAATATTTCATATTAAAATATGATAGTAAAATTCTACAAACTTTTCAATATAGTATGTGTAAATTAAACATTGATTACAAGAATGAAATAAACTAAAATGTAGCCAATCTCTATTTTATTTCTGGTACAAAGAAAATAATCTATGATGAATACTTGTTTATAAAATATATATGTTTGAGAAAAAATAGCAAGTAAATTTTTTGAGTTGCAAAAATTATTCTTAGGAACACAAGTATCACGTACATTGAGTGTTGTTGTGTATGACAACAAAAAAACATATTGTTTGAAACTAGAGTGATGGTTGCAAATTGGGGTTGAGAGGCAGCCCCTGAACAAACTTCAGCACCCATGTGAATGTGGATCTGTGCTGGCCTAATGAGGGTGTAGATCATGAATCCGTGCGGGCTCAATGAGGAATGGGGTCTGAGTTCCTAACCTGGCGCCCTCCAAACTGCTCGCCCTCTATCCTGCCCGTCCTCCAACCTGCCCGCCCCCCTGGTTCGCTTTCGTTCCCTTCATACGTTCCCAGAAATCCGATCAGCGGTTGAGATCGAATCTAAGCTTAGCTGCAATCCAACGGCCCACAATGGCGGAACCAGTCGATTGAGAAGGGAGGTTTCTGCGACACAATTCTACGAGGGGGAATTTGAGCACAAGAGCCGTGAAAGTGAAGCCAAGTGAAGCTGGAGTTGCATCGCATTGCATCGCATCGCAGGAGCTCTGGTGTAATTCTGCTTCTGCCATCTTCAATTCAAGTCAATTGCAATCGTCCTCTGTCATTCCCCCGGCTCCACTTTCCTCTGCCCCTGCTCCACAACAATGCTGGTGCTGGAGGTTTGATGCCCGCTCTCATGGCTTCTTCCTCTCTGCCGCCTCTCGACGGCACCTGCTGGAACGTTGTTTACTCCCTCCCTACCTCCAAGCGCAAGCACGATGGCACCCTCACTCTCCGCTACATCAATGGCTCTGTCGTCAAAAAAATCTTCCTCTCCGACTCCGACTCGCTATCTCTTGCGGACCGCATCCTCCGTCGAACTGAAAATGTTCAACCGGGATCGGCCCTTACATTTGATTCTCCACCTGGCTATGTTGTGTGGGTGGATTCGTTGGTCGAGGGCCTCGCTTCCTCATCCTCTCCCTCAATTGCCCTATCGCGTTTAGCGGCGCGGGCTTCTTCTCGCTCTTCTCTGGCTACCTCGAATTCCTCCCCCATCGACCTATCTTGTAATGGACCCGGTTTGAACCCAACCCTTCGTCTCTTTTGCATTTCGTATGCTGTCTTTCGTTATGTTGCGGAGTTTTGTAAATCTGTTCTCGCTGTAATCAACCTCTTGGAATGTGTCGTAGGTACTGTGATCGGCCGAAAGCTTGTCGTGATTCGCAAATCCGTTCTTGCTCCATATCGTAGACCTGGTAGGGTTAGCAAAATTGAGCAAGAATGCTCCACTGATGAGCAGGATTCTTGTAATCTGAGGAGAAATCAGGCGGAAACTTCTGAAATGACTCCCAAACCTAGTGGGATCTGCATAACTGAGCAGGAATGTCACATGGATGAGGAAGCTTCTATCAGCATGAGAAGGATTCAACCAGAGGCTGCTGAACCTACTAGCATTTGCAAAACCGCGCAAGAATATAACATTGATGAGGTTTATTGTAGTAACCTGAGGAAGCTTGAGACAGACGCTGCTGAATTGACTCAGAAACCTACCAGGATTCCCAATAGTGAGCAAGAATGTCAATCTGATGAGGCATCATTTAGTAATATTAGTAGGAGAACTCAAGCAGAGGTTGCTGATTTGTTGTCAGAGGAAGTGGAAAATTTCCTTAATACCATAGATTTCAGGTCGGTGAACGAACCCAGCAAATTTGAAATTTTTGAGAATCTGGCTTTGAATACATATGATATGATTGTGAGGATGCTGGTGGTTACATATCGTCAAGAATCTTTTTATTGAGGTTCTTCTTGTGTAGCGGTGTATCGAAAGTCGTGAGAGGTGCAAGTTAAGTTGTGATAAATCTTTGGATTGACATGAATTATTTTGTAACAGCGTTCAGGATTTCTGGGTAGGCTACAAGCTGTATTGCTTTGGCTATTATTCTTGCTGCGATATTTCTAAAGGGCAGTTTCTAGCTAGCAAGATGGGTGAGCTCAAAACTTGCCTATCTTGTATCTCGGTTATTACCATATGTGTATTTGCCAGCATGAGGAAATTACGGTCTTGTGAACATAGTTTTTAGCTTTCGACAGAACGAATATCCATGTGAGAGCTGTTGAATGCGAGATTTGAGTCGCTACCAGTTAAGCAGGTTTGAGCTGTTGATGTTCATTTACGTGATTTGATATTGCAGGTCGAGCAGTATGTCATTTACATGAGGATATAGTTGTATTGTGGGGAGCAAAGTTTGATGAGGCAGTGAGGCAAATGTGGGCGATGATGGAGGAGTATTTAAAGATTTATTATGACAAGGACTGCACAAACCTTAGGTAAGATTTCTGTTCCAGTCAGACTGTTCGAACTCGCAGTTATATCTTACAGTCTAATTGGCACGATTGTGGAAGTGTCTGTACATAGAGTTCTTGCAGGATTGTGGTGTGCTTGATCTTAGTGCCACTAGCATCAAGCAGTGGACAACCACAACTCAGGTGCGAGTAAAACTTGAATGCTATTAAATATTATTCAGCAATCAAATTGTTATGTAATGTTGAAACTGCATCCATAATGCTGGCATCAACTGCAATGCAGTGCTCACATAACCTCAAGGTTTATCTCTAACACTTAGTGCATCCAGGGTCTTAATGGAGGAATTTGATGATGCTAAAGAACTTTCTACTTCAGAGAATGGCTTATTACTGCTACAATTGATACAGGTTTTTCCTTTACCCTTTCTAATTCAACTTTTAGTATTTCAAACATGAAATTTTCTGCAAGTACATGCAGCAAAAACTGCTCTGACCATGCAGCCGTGGATGTCAGAGGATGGTCCAATGAACCACCATCTTTCTTTTTCGAAGGACTAGTTTGTTATTGTCTTTCCGTCATGTATTAATGAATCTCTACACTCAGGATGACGAGTATGGGACCGAACGCCTCTACAATCAAACACGCAACGTGCAGATACAGTCCACCAACATATTTTCTCAGCTCCGTCAGAGCCTCACCCGGGTGGACTCCGAGTTGGTTAACCTCATGAAGTCGCATGGTGAGTTGGGAAACCACAATTCAAGTGCGAGTAAATCTTTTGAGAGCCTACCTGCACGTAGCACAGTCAAATGTTCATCTAAAAGACCAAAGGATAAACCCAAGGATATTTGGGGTAAGCTCGCTCGGCCTGAGTAATATTCAAATTTCTATGAAGCATGTGAAGTATTCATGGTGATGCAGTAAGTAGGACACCTGATTTCGAAGTGGACTTATCTTGTCAGAATCAGAAAATGTACAGGATTGTTTAAAAATTATATACAACTGTTTCTTGAGGAATTTCTTCACGGCAGGCGTCTCTTTTGAATGATGCGGTATCACTTGGGGTTGTATTTCATCCTCACCGTAGCAATAGAATGCTTTGTAAAAAGTCACTAATTTTTTTATTATTTCACTTGGTTCCTCATGTACGCACTTGCCTTTCTGCTGCTGTACAAACTGAATGGGCTCAACGTTTACACTTCTCGTCTATTGACACAGTTTGTTCATAGTGTTCTTTTGTTAGCTGACAAGTAGTACTTCCTTGATTCTTGTATAGAGCCTGAGGTTTTTGAGCACATCGAACAAATACTGGTCAAGTGGTGGATTAATAAAGCTCGATGTCGTTCTCAGTGTAGTCGTGAGATGTTAACATTCCTTGAATGTGGCTGCACAAGGTTGTAAGATTGCTTCTTAGGCTTAAAGATATCTTTACCAAATCTTATTTAATCCTTATCAAATCTTATATCAGTTTTTTTATTCACAATAATTATTAATTAAGTTGTTAATTTTATTTTATAATTTCTGCACATTGCAATCTATTATTTAAAATTTGGATTTTAAAAGACAATAAATATTAACTGGATATAAACTAACGTCAAATCTTAAAATTTGGATTTTAAAAGATAATAAATATTTCTTTGACCTTATGTAATTTGTTGGTCAAATTAAAATAAATTTTTAAGAGCCAATAGTAAACTTAGTTTGAAACATTTTCATAAAGTTTGAAAGAAATTAAGTAGTGAAATAAGGAGATACAATCAACAATGGATTAACATCAATTTGGAAAAAGAAGACAAGCAACATCCAAACAACTTAAGAACTTATTTCCTAATTGGTAAATTGAATTATTTTCAAATTTCTTATAATTACTCGTAGTTTAGTTTTGACGTTAGTTTATATCCAGTCCTCTATGAGAATCAATTTTTAATTTTTTAAGATAATTTTTGTTAAAAAATATTTTTAACTATTTCTTAAAGATGTATGTATGTATATATATATAAATCTACTTTATTTTGATTTATTTTGGCCTACGAAAATAAATAAAAGTCTTACAACAAAAAAACATCATTAACACTAAATTTGTTTGTTACCTCCTCTTTTACTCATATCTCTCTAAAGTATAACTTATATAGGAAGTTATTGAAGCCACACCTTAATATTATTAAAGCTATACACTCCAAACTATGTGATGATTAACTTTAAAGGATAAGGAGCATGAAATGAAGGTTGAGAACAAAAAATGGTTGACATAGAATAAGGAATAAAGACAAGAATGGATGGAATCAATCATAATATGGTAATGTAGAGTGTAGCTTTAATAATATTAGGGTATGGCTTTAACAACTCCTTTTATATATTTCTCTTTTATCTTATAATCTAGTTATATCTTAATACCAATTTTTATGAATAAAGTTTTAAAAACTTAGAAATTATTGTCATGACTTAAATTGTTCATTTTTAACCAAATCTTTGTTCTTAGTATCTTTTAAAAAGTCCATTGTTGCATGTAATGGCTTCAACAACAAATTATTCCAATGAATCTATTTTTGGTATTATTAATTATAAATCTTTGACATTATTTTTTTAATCCATATCAAAATTAGTTCATAAAGGCTTTACTATTCTAATTCATGTTGTAAGCAAGGCTCTAGATTTGATAGAATAGATCATAGATGATTATAACCTCTATTGTAGAAATCAAAGTTTTATTTTTGCTACTCTTTTTTCAATCACTTTTTTCAAATATAATTGTAAAAACTTTAAAGAATAAATTTAGATTATATAAGAGTCATAATCTTTTTTGTATCAAAAGTACAAATCAAAAGAAAATACTTCTAAATAAGAATGCACCTATAAATCTATTTTATTAAATTTGTAAAAATATTTAAAAATATTTAAACTTAAATAAAGCTTAATTTTTTATAAAAGTCCTTGAAATTTTGACCTTGTTCTATCAAACCTCTATGGCATATTAATCTTTACTTCTTTTATATTCATAGTAGAAAAGCCTTTATAAACTCATTTTTAAAGACAAAATCTTATATTTAAAATTTATAAAATTATTTAAAACTAAGTTCAAAACATGCTCACAAAACCTTACTATAATCCAATTAGCATATTACTTAAGGTCAAAGAAATCCTTATTGGCCTTTAAAATCCAAGTTCCAAGATCCTAACTAAGTTATATTTCTATAAATTTTGATTTAACTTTTATATTGAATTTAAATTCAAAAAAAAAAAAAAAAAAAATAGGTGCATAAGCATATAAATTATTATCTTTTAATGTGCTAGAATGCTTACAAAATATGCAGACATATAAATTCTTTAATTTTTAAAATTTAAACCACTTAAAACACCTCTCACTTTAAAAAGTTGTTAAAATTTTAATATCAATCTAAATCACTCAAAATGAATGTCCAATAAAAAATAACAATTTTTCTTTTTCTAATTTTTCTCTTCAATCAATAAAAAATTACTACAAATTTTTTGTAAAGATACAATTTTGCATGTTAGAATAAAATTTCAACTTAGTTCATAATTGGTCCTCTCTCAATATTAACATCTAATTTTTATATAATTTTTACTAGAATCTACTATTTAATTCTATTATAAGGTGGCCATGATAATAATTTTTTTAGAAATTAAAAAATAAAATAAATTAAATTAAACCTTCTTTTTTCATTTTCATGATCTTTGTAAGTAAAAAACGAAAATAAAACAAAAAATAAAAACAAAAATAATTTTACAAAAGATAAAATTAGCATAAATTAATTTTATAATTTCTTTGACTATTATCTATACTTATAAAATAATTTTTTATTATATTTATAATAAGATATTTTATAATATAAGTTATTTTTATTTTTTTTATCTAATAGTCAAATTATAATACAACATGTTCCATATGTTGGCTACTTGTGGCTTAAGTTGGTAATTTGGAGTACATATAAGGAACTCATCTTATAAGTTAGATATGTGTCTCCACAAGTTAAATACATGTTAGAGGTTTTATAAAACATCACCATGTAGCTCATAGTAGATAATTTATAAAGAAGCAAGAATGATGCCTTCCTCACTGTTGTCAATTTTTTTCTTGCTTTTAGTCTAGTTTCAAGAGTCTCTAATATTTTTAGACTTTTGACAATAACCATTTCCATTTCTTCTTAATATAAATATTTATTTTTTTTTGTCATCTTTTATTGAAAAATATCTAACTTATTTATTTATATTCTTTGAATTCTTATTTTTAACAAATTAAAAAGAATATACTTATAATATTAAATTTTTATTTTTTTGATTAAAAATATATTATTCTTTTTTTTTAATAAAACATAAGTATATTAAAAGTTGTAGATTATCTACTTCTAAATTGATATTATTCTTAGAATTTTTTTGTTCTTAAGTCTTATCTTCTCATTATTTTTAGTAATATTTTTTTTCTATTGTCTTATAACAATAGAGCTTGTTGAAATAAAGAGTGTAATAGTACAAATATAAGAATAAATAAGGCAATTAATGCTTGCAATGCATCAAATTAATTCACCACCACAAAGAATAACAAAATTGGTAGGAAGTAAAGATGTATAGATAATTGGAATTGTTTTAATATCCATACCAAATCATATTACTTCTCTTACTATAGAACATTGTTATAGTATTTGAGAATCAAAAATTATCTTACTTAAGAAGTTTGATGGCACAAGATCAAACTTATAAAGATTCATCAATCAAGTACAAATAGTAATTGAACTTTAACATCAAAGTTAATCAATTTAAAGATCATAAGTTAAGTTTATTGAAATACTACTTTCAAATTTCATTTTATCATGGTTTTTTATTTTATTTTAAATGGAATATAATATTAGATAATTTATAGACTTTTTTAGTGGAATTACAATCTATGAATGAAAACATGATGTAATTTGTATTACAACCAATAAGATTTGTATTTTACATGAAAACAATTGATTAATAACATTATATGCTTTATAATTCTAACAACTTGCATATGATATTAAATGAGATGATGTTGCACTTATTAGCTAATTTTTCTATAAATTGTTATATGAAAAAAAAAAAATTGATATTGAACTTACCTAATGCTTAGACATTGAATCAAACAATTATCTTTGTTGTAAAATATAAAAATCAGCTTTTTAAATTTTAATATGAGAGTTGCATTGGTGGACTTCAATGTTTTTACAATTCAATAGCAATGCCACTACTTCTAAATTTATATGTTAAAAGATAAAGAATACCTTTACTAATAAAAAATAAATTTGTGTATGTAGAAGTCATAAATAGTTGTCTTTTATCTTTTACAAATGTTATTTTTGAAACCATTCTTATAGATATTAGAAGAAATGGTCACAATAGCATATTGATATTCAATATTATTAGGTTTTTTCTAAATTCAATCATTTTAAGCTTATTATGGCTAAATTTTTTTAATCTTTGAATAGATTAGATTTTTTTTAGTTTTGATTTTTTTTTTACAATATATCTAAATTTTTTTTCTAATTGAATCAAAATTTATAAGTCAAATATAACCAAATTCTTATTCATAGATGCAAGATCTTTCAAATATGCTGCAAAAGAAAAATCACTTTTTGTTATTTATGCCACATCTATTTTTAATGGTACAAAGATTTCAAATAAAATACCAAGCTAGTATTAATAAAATTATTATGATGTTTTTTAAAAAAAGAATATAGATATTTTTATACAATATTTTCTTTATGATTATTTAGTGATCTTTAAGAAAGAGGAAAATAGCCATTTAGACCAATCTATAGTATATTACAAAATAAGTTGATTGAATTCAAAAAATGCATTAATGAAAACTTAGCAAAGAATTTCATACATAATTTAAAAATCTTAAGCATAAATTCCTATCTTATTTGTAGAAAAAAAATATTGATTATTACAATTATGTATTGACTATTAAAGGCTCAATAAGATTATCATAAAAAAAAAGTATCCTCTATCTTTGATATCAAGACTTCTTGATTAATTGATCATACAAAGATCTAAATAAAAATAGATCTATAAGGAAGATACAACTTCATATGAATTAATAAGGAGATAAATGAAAGATTTCATTTTGAACCAAGTATAGGTATTTTGAATATA